AGCTGTAAAAAGCTGGAAGTAATTGGTTTAAGATAAATAAGTTATCCCAATTCTTGCAACAGTCACATATTCGAAGATCATAAGGGGTTTAATGTGTATAAGCCCCCCTTAAACTAAAGTTTAACAGATTGCGTTTCTTCTCCACCGATTTCAGGCCTTGAAAATGCAATTGAAAACTTAATAAATTACGATTTTTAGTACCCCTTCTGTTTCCTTTAGACAGCGATGGTATTATCAGTTGTCAGATGTGTTATAAAATTGGAATGAGAAAGCCGTTATCCTCCCCTTATAAAGCTTAATTTTTCGAAAAATATTCAATCTTCTGTAGAGACCTTTTTTTTAAGTGAGAACTGTTTAACTATTAGGAAAAATATTTTGATGAATTACTGCATTTACTTGCGTGCTTTTCCTCGTTATCTACAACTTAAAACTAAGCTGTATCTATCATTTATAAGGAAAAGAATTAAAGTAAGAACTTATGAGATGTAGGAGAACATATAAATTATACATATTAACGCAAGTATATTCTTTACTTTATAAGGTATTTCTCCCGCATCCGTAGCATGCATAATGGTCAGCACACTCGGCGCGCATTCCAGAGGTCCGAGGTTCGAGTCCTGGCGAGGGCATTGCTAATTTTTCATGTCTCCTGCTTTGAAATAACCCAATGTCTCTACAGTGGCGCACGAACTAAAACGTGGTGGTGGATGATGATTCTTCACCTCCAGGATTTGGGGATTGGGTCCCTTAATCCCCAGTCGCCTTTTAAAAGGGGGTATATAAGGTATTTCTCCCGCCTTCTTAGCATGCCTTCGGGGTGTAATGGCCAGCACACTCGGCGCGTATTCGAGGGGTCCGAGGTTCGAGTCTCGGCGATAGCACTGCACATTTTTCATGTCTCCTGCTTCGAAATAACCTAATGTGTCTACAGTGGCGCTCGAATTAAAAGGGGGGTGGATGATGATTCTCCGCAACCAGGATTTGGCGACTGAGTCCCCTAATCCTCAGTTGCCCTTTAAAAGGAGGAATATATATAAGGCATTTTCTCCCTCCTTTCTGCACGCCTTCGTGGTGTAACGGTTGCACACTTGGCGCATATTCGAGAGGTCCAGGTTCGAGTCCCGGCGAGGACCTTGCTCATTTTCATGTGTCCTGCTTTTTAAAAAATCCTAATGACTCAACATGCCTTTCCTTGTTTTTAATCCACTTAAAATTTAGGTTGTTTTTAAATTATTTAACTGTTTTCAGTGTTTTCCGTTATTTTAATATAAAGAGACAATAACACATAGTACGCATTTTTTAAGAAATTACTAAATTACTTAATATGATCGGCATGTAGATTAACCATATCTGTCTGGTAAACATGAGCTGAAAACCGATTATGTACTGTTTGTAGGATTATTTGTTTTTGAAGACTCGTTAATGAAAGTTAATTTCTCACTTTTTTTACAACTGAAATGGATTATACTTTTAGGCAAGTGAAAAATAATTTCATTTTCAGTTTTGTTGAAACACGTTCTGGATTTTGTTTTAGAGGGACAAAATAAAATCTAATGACTGAAAAAAAAAAAAAAAAAAAGAGGTAACCGAATTATCTGGAATTCATGAATGATGGGAAGGGTTGCAGTCCAAGTTTGTTCAGTATTTTGGAGCTGTCTTGTATTTATATGTTATATTTGCGGGAATTTTTAATAAATTGATTTATTCAAGTATAAAATTGTTTTGTTAAGGACTCTGAAATCCTTCGTCGACCGTTAAACTACTGAATATTTGACCAGTTATTACAGTGTTGCAGCAAAAGCAGTTTCCTTCCTCTTCAAAGTAATCACTTATATGATTGATAATTTTTCCTGGGCACAAATGAGCATAAGTATGTGATAGATTTGGTAGGTTTTTCGAAGTAGGGGAATATAAAAAATCATCTGCATACTCACTAGGATTCGAACTGCGGATCTCCCAACTCTAACTTCTTGCACAGACGAAAGTACGAACTCAGAAGTGTAATAATTCTTTGCAAGTTTGCTTTAAATAATATTTACGAACGTGTTTATATTATTAATAAGTTTTTTTATTACGTGTTATGTAGTAATGTAGTGAATCTTAGATCTAGGATTGGAGTGGAAAAAGAATTCATCCTCTTTATTCTCAAAGTAGGTAAAGAAGAAAATGCCCCTTTTGTTTCGAACAACTCCTCGCCAAGTTAGATGTTTCTAAGGGGGAGTGGGATGTTTCTAAGGGGGAGTTTCTAAGGGGGACCCCACCCCCTTTTTCGTTATGATGTTTCTCATCGATTTTGCGGAAAATCGTACTAAACCTAGTATCAAGATCTCGTGCAGTTTCTGAGCATCCATTACTGCTCTTTCAACCTCAGTTGTCTCTTTAGAACCGTAAATAACTCTCCGAGTCTCCCCATCCTATTTCCCGGTTTTCTGCACTCTTTCCTTCTCACTCTCGAAAAAGATGCATTCCCTTCTTGTAGCATGCACTTGATAACACCATTTCTCTTTCCGAACTGTGTGTATGTGTCCTTAGCAGACGGCCGGTAAGTGCTCTCACTGAATCCGCCTCTCGTGTTATTACATCGAGAAGATTTGCACATTTGGAGAAGGGTAAATCTTTTTGCTGACTAAGATTTCATCTCGTTCAGGAAGAACAAAGAGAAACTCTCCTGTATCTGAAAAAGTTTGCCGACAGTTTTTCCAGCTTCAAGGTATTCAGATATAAAGTTTCTATCTCTTACATCAAAGACAGTAAAAGCGTATTATTCAGCTTTTTGTTTTGTCTGTACCTAAACCTATAGTTCTATAGTCCTATAGTTCTATAAATTGCATTAAATCTGAACAGGAGTTACCTACTTCTCCTTGCCTTTCTGTTCTGCAAATATCTATTTCCTAGATTCTGAGAAGATCCGAGTTAAAATCTGTTTGCACTGATTTCATTAACTTAAATAATGTGGTTCATTAACTTAACATTAACTTAAACATAATGGTCAGCACACTCGGCGCGCATTCCAGAGGTCCGAGGTTCGAGTCCTGGCGAGGGCATTGCTAATTTTTCATGTCTCCTGCTTTGAAATAACCCAATGTCTCTACAGTGGCGCACGAACTAAAACGTGGCGGTGGATGATGATTCTTCACCTCCAGGATTTTCCTAAGTATAACTTTTATAATGCACTTTATAAATAATCTATAAGCAATAAATTAAATGCTTAAAGGAAAAATGGCAAAATAACGATATTTTAACGTCAAACCTGCAATTTCTTTCATTGGTATATTTGAAAACACTTCTTATAAGAGCAGTTCGAAAAGCTAAAAATTCTCTCTCTCGTTTTGCATTTCCAACTCGAAGCTAATAGAATATTCTACAGTTTTAACAGCATAATTAAATACTTTGTATTGATCTGGGGCATGTAAACGTTCATTCGTCCCTTCGTTGGAGATTAAAAACTAAAAGCTGAAATTAAAAGAGATACATTCAGTGATCTTTAGTTCTTAATTTTTCATTCAAATCGTAGGAACTAAAATAAATAGCACGCACAAAATATTCGGAAATTTTTTACCTTGCTTATAATTTGAAAGCTGTAAAGTTTAATCATTTATTATGTAGGGTCTAACTGTATTTAATCCATGCAACTTAATAGTTAAAAAAAATCCAATTTCACTTATGCTTCGATTCATTGTGTAAACGAATAAAGGAAAATTCAGTTTTGTTTTAAGCTTTGTTCTTGGTAACTAAGTTAAAAGAAAAACAGGTTGTGTAGTTATGCAGGCTTGTTACATTCTTATATGTCTACTATTATCTGGCAACGTTAAATGAAATAGGAACATAAAAGTTCTATAAGAAGTGTTGCATCTCTCTACCGGTTTTGGGTTTAGCTTATATTCGGAGTTACTTTTAACGTATTAATTATTTCGATACTTTCTCGATTAATTATTTCGAATTATTTCGATACTTCTTTCTGGTGGTATTTTAAAACTTCTCGAGGACTCAAGACGAGTTGAAAAGAGAGAAAGTATATGGAAATATATTTGTGTAAGTTTAAGGCATTTGTCCGAAAGTTTGAAGTTTGAAATGCTAATAATGGAAATGTGTAGGTCTTAAAGGAAAGTGGAGGAAGATTATAGAATTAAAATTAAACTGTTCTCTGTTTTAAAATTCAACTAAAACATTTTATAAGATGGAAAGTACCTTAATTGTTAAGATTTGGAATATTCGATAAATATGTTTATACATCTTTTTGTCATTCTGCATTTGTGTATTTTATCGCAACCAAGAAAGTAAAGATAACATAATATGATGTTAATGAAAATAAACATTACATGTTCTGAAATCTGGGAAAATGAAAAAAATTAACAATTAATAAATAATGAATAAACGCTGAATGAATAATAAATGAACAATAAGTGAATAATGAATGAAAATAAACATAACATTATAAAATCTTCATAACAATCTCTACATATAATACAAGGTCTGTCTGCGTGTGTTTCCTTCGTTCGTGCTGAGCGTAAGCTAATAGACATAGGGCTACAAAATTTGGTACACAGGTGCATCTAGACAAGCGCCAGTGCACCTCGAAGCGAGTTTTTCAAAATTTGAATGAATTTTTTTAATTTTATGTTTTTAATGAAATCGCATCAAATCGATGGCACTCACAACAATGGCACGCAGCCATTGTTGCTGATATCAGCACTGTTGCAGACTAAGAAATATATGGACGATAATTCTGTACTGTTTTTAAATTTAATGTTTCTCTTGGATACTGGACGCTTGTCGAGAGGTACTTGGATACGACGTTTGTTTTCCGGTACTTTTAAAAACCGGACGAAGGATAGTATGTTATGAAAATAAACATACATTACGACGTTCATAACAACAAACGTAATGTTCTTAAAAATGTGTTTTGAAAATAAACACAATATGATGATAAGATGCCATGTGCATTGTATGTAGCTCATTTTTTTTTTCTGTTTCTCAAACATTTTCCTTTTTCTTCCCAGCTGCTCGACAAGGACATGCTCGAATTGTGGAGTTGCTGCTGACAGCTGGTGCAGACCCGGATCATGCTGATAATGATGGCTGGACACCTCTAAGATCATCTGCTTGGGCAGGGCATACAGAAGTAAGTATTTCATTAGCTTTCAGACAGGCTTTCTAATTATTATGCGCAGTATTCAATATGTCTTTTAAAAAATTATTTATGCTTTTTTAAATCACGATATTATAGCTTTCTTCGACTGTTTTTTTAACTTATCCCTGTTTTTAATAATCGAGCACTTTACAGTCATTGCATTACTGTGCTAGAGTTTTAAATTCTTCAAAAAATGCATTTGAAAAAGGACATTTCGTTGTTTTCGGATTGAATCCAACATTGATACGAAAAAAGTAAAAGAAGCCATACGGGTAATGGAAATTCTGTTGTAGGTTGTAAAAATAATAACGAATGAGCATATTAAAAAAGTAATCAGCTATGACTAACCTCAGCTTTTGCTTTTGTTCTGAAATGTTCCGCAACTGATCTTCAGCTTTTGCAATGAATAATGAGGTGGAAGTAAGTGCGAAAACATATTTTTATTCGGTGGTATTCATTGATAAAATGTTTTGAAATAATTGCTGATGTGGTCTGTATATTCGACACTCAAGTGTGAAGAAACGGTGTTTAGTTGCAAGAGTGGATTTTCTCAAACGAAAAGGCGAAAATAAAGCGATTTTTGAATCATTAATTTGATTGGATTAATCGAATTATCCTGTATGCGAATTATCTGTTTGAAAGCTAGAGTGTACTTCTAATTAATCCCATGTAGAATGTTATATCTGTAATGTATCATTTCAGCAACAAAAGAAACAAACAGAAAAGATCTCTGTTTAAAAGTTTACGTTTTTTATAAACGTATCATAGTCTTGATGAAGCGGAGATGATCAATTTCATTCCTTTTCTTTTGAGGCATAAAATTTAACACTTCGTGTCTCTCATCTTATAAGAATGTACATGACACGTTGTTTACTTCTTGTATTGCTTTTGCAAGGTAACTTTTTGTTTTGTCGGCGTGAAATAGACACATGTATTTCATTGGATGCATACTTTTATTAAAATTATTTATTTTAAATTATTATATGCTACGAGGTATATATGTCAAAGTCTTTGCCAACATTTGAAATAATAGTACCCAATGTACTTTTCTTTTTCGCATAATTAGTAATGTTTTTAATGTCATCTGTAAGAGTTGAAACCATTGTCTCACAGGTAATGCGCGAACAGTTTTTTTTCGGTTCGTCGTAACCATAATTTAAATTTATAAGCATTTATGTATAAAGCAAAATGATTCAGCTATTTTCGAACAAGTCTTAAACGCATAAATTAAGCATAGACACACAGAATTGAATGACAGTTGATTTTATTGCGTCAGTGGTCAGCGATCATTTTTGCTGCTTCATTAAATCAACACGAAACAAAAAAGTCCATAAATATTATAAAGTTTAATATTTCATTGAAATTTTTGCAATGTTCTGTTAAGTGATCAGCACAGGAAAGATAAAATTATGGCGTATTTGGATAATTTTATTTTGTAAATTTTTATATTGTAGTTATATCCAACGATCATTGTTTCATTTGTAAGTACATCACAATAAATGCTGAGTATGGTAGTTACTGTTGAGAATTTTTCAGCGAGAACAGAGCACTTATGCACAGCATAAAAAGGCGTTTATTTGCGGATTATTGACAGAATGGATTCTTTTAGATTTTTTCATTGCCCTCTTCTTTTAATGTTCCTGTCGGATGGCGTCGTGTAAAACTGAAAATGACTCTGCAGTGATCTCTGCTTACCTATGACATTATGTATATCCATTTTTGAAATTCATAGGATTTTAGGCCTAGAAAACTGGATTGCTATTCATGCTGAAAATGGTATTGAGAGTAAATATTGATTTTAGGAGAAGCGAATGGGGTGATGCTTCATTCTGCGTAGAATAGCTCGAAACAGAAAAACTTCGCTTTTTCTAGATTGTGAATAATTGGGTCTCATAACTGGTCCTCCCAGCGCTAATTTCTGATAATGATAATTTAAAAATAGCCAGATTCTTAACTCGAATGTATAACGCCGTATGGCTGATATATTTCTAACTAAAAACTCGCATAATAAACGTCTTTTATTAAGGGTGGGAAAAATTGTAAACTTTTGCATTTCTGCGCTATCCATGTTACTGTAAGTTATAAGTTCACTGAAATGCAAATTTTTGAAACGTTAGTTATTTTTTATTATTGTTACTATTTATAGGGCCTTCCAGCACTTGTTGCTCTGCACTCAACATGTTAAATACTTGTTTCTCTGATAAATTCTTAGATGGAAGAATACATCGTTCGCGTTGTTGTCCTTGATTGTTAAGAAGTACACTTAGATAACTTCATTTAAAACGTGTTATAGTCTGTTTCACATCCACTTATTTTCAGTTCTTTCATTGCTCTGCCATATACGGGGATAGCGAGCGCATATTGCATTATTTTGTAGATTTTTAAGACTTTTGTGCATTATTTCGGACTTTCAAGACTTCTGTTTTGTGGATCTCCATCTGCTCAATTATAATGAGATTAATTTTAGATGCAGTACATTTCATATTTTCCATATATATTTATTGACCTGAGACTTGGGATTATAATGAGATTAATTTTAGATGCAGTGCATTTCATATTTTCCATATATATTTATTGACCTGAGACTTGGGATTGAAATATAATTAAAAATTCGCTCTTTATTAATTTCGAACTATAGTAATGTTATCTAGTAACCTAGAAAAATTTCGTTCTAATGAAATGCTAAAATGCATTTTATTTTTCAAAGGGTGTTCGAATGTTTGAAAGGAATACCAACTAATATTTTACCAAGTTCTTAGTTTAATATTTTACCAAGTTCTGAGTTAATTAAATAAAGATATGGTAGAACGTTTATTCCCCCCCTCAAACATGTTTTATGCGTAAGAAGAGTGTAGGGGGAAAACAGTTTATTGCGAAAGCATGCGTTTATGTAGCATGCGTTTTTTTAAAACACTTTAAAACATTTAAAAAAAATCAATTCATTGCATCTTAATCTAAGCGAGTCGTCGCTTCAGACTAATAATAAATGGATCAAACAAATTTACAGACAGAATAAACTCACTTTGCATTTCACTTTGTTTGCAAATTAAATAGAACGAGAGGTTTTGGAGCTTGCGGCCAAACCAAGCGTTACAAATTCATTGTTTCCAGTCAGTCTAGCTTACAAAAGCTTGTTTGCTGCGTTCATTTATTAACTAAACGTCTGTTTGAGTTATTGACACCAGGCTTAAATGGATGAAATCTCTTTGTAAAAGACTCAAACATGGTATATATTTTATCACAGAAAGCAAGCGTTATTTTGAAACACTTATTTTTCCACAAAAATTGATATTGTAAATTGCAATGAAGACTGGCTATTTCATATATTGAGACACTAGCTTACAAATTTGAAAAATGGAGGCTTTTCATAGACTTATAATTAATTTAGCTCTTTTAAATGTGATTCCCTTGTTCCGTGTAGATAATCAATTGACATATTGCCCTGTCTTAGTCTTCCAGTAAAATAACATTGGGCACAAAAGAAGGTTTAAAACAAAACTTTTTATTAGATTTTCAGCCTAACAATTTACACACTTGTTGTAATAACAGAACATTCCGCTGCTTGCGCGATGACCAGAACACAAATTTAAACCTAAGTAGGTATTTGCAAAGCAGATTCCGCCTATAAGTTTTGGCTCACGCCCTCGTCTCACGCGAGCACATATGGCTAGCAAAAGCTAAAGCTGATTCAACTAAATTTAGAAGCTGGATGAAAATAGCATGGAGACGGTCAGCGGTCATTGCCAAAACCTGCTTATTAAAATTAAGAACTCTCTTATATGCAATTATTAATTTACATCTTAATGGAACTTACAAAAGTGGCAGTAAAGGTAAGATGAAAAAACATAAAGTAGCTTACAAACATAAAACCCTGCAGATGCTTTAAAAACAAGCGTAAAAAGAGCCCTGCGTCATAACAGGAAAGAGTTTTCCGTCATTTTTATTTGCTTATGTTGCACACATGAAAGAACTAAGAGTATGTAAAACGTTTTCTCAGCGCTAAAAAGCAATCACAACATGTATCTGGAGATCTGAAAATTATAGCTATGCTCTTTGGAATACAATTTGAGTATTCAAAATGTTGTTGTTTCCTGCGTAAAGTGGTGTAGTTTGTTTAATCTATTTCAGCAACGAGTGTTACCTTCTTAACTCTAAGGATGCTTTCATTGATAACTTTTGAAGAAAATCTGATTGCACATAGAAAAAATTACGAAAACATCTATGTAACTAGCCCATTCACTGAATCGAATTACCAGTGTTCAGCACGCATAACCACTTGGCCAATTTTCAGCCGTCTGAGTGGTGATGTAAAGAGAATGATAAAATTTATGTTAAAACGTTTTCGTTTTAAATAGGAGATTTGACATCGGGGATGCTATTTTTGAATCCTTACTACGTCCTCAGAAAATGTATTGCAGTTGCTACGTCTTTAGATAAAACTAGATAAGACGAATTTCTTTACAAAGACAATAGATAGAATAGGAGAAGATTTTCATTTTCCGGAAACAAATCTCCCCATACTTAATGAAGCCAATTGTTAAACGTGGGATTTTTTTTCATCCACATATTATGAAGATAATTATTGATCTTGGATTTTTGAAGGACCATCGAAGAGGCTTCAGTTTGATACATGGAAAGTACATGAATCCTGTAACATCGTGAATGAAATTCTTTACAGAAAATTAAATAATGAGCTGATGAAGAACTACAAAGCATTAGTGGCTACGTAAGATTCATTTTCTCGGTTATAGTCTAGACTTTTTCACTTATATCTATGGATTCCAGAGAACGTTTCCCTGAATGGGCAATGAAACACATTATACAAGAGATTAAAGCACAGAATGCTTATCTGATTATATTTGGACTCAAAAAAAGATGTATCCGAGTTAAGACATCAAAGAAAATTGTTGGTAATTTTATTATTTATGGCTTGCCCTAAGGAATTATAATTAGGGATGTATATCGCTATTTATTGTTAAAATAAAATTTCG